CCCCAAAACCCCAAAACCCCAATAGAATTAAATTAGGAGGACTGAGTAGATGGTTAAATTATAATTAGAAAATTGAGATTAAGGGAATAAATCCTTATAATAATTCATACTTCTAAACAATTAAAATGAGCGAATCACAAATATCTGATTCAGATCAATCTACTAAGTTAATGAAAATGACAAATCTTGAGGAACCGACTTAATAGCAAGACCTTAACCAATAAACTTAAAGTTAATCAGCAGCAAACAGCAACTCTTAATAAAACACTCCAAATCAGCAGAGATACTAGCCAAATAAAAAGACAAATACCTAATCGGGAAGTAAGAAAATTTTATCAATGGGATTAAGAAACAGAAAAGTATTGAATAACCCTTAGAGAAACAGTGGGCAGCTTTAAAATGCTAATACAAATGAACAAGTTGCAGTAATCTAAAATAAACATTAAACAAACATTGAAACTCAAAATAACATCACTATGAATATCCAATTTCAAGAAAATAGAAATAGTTCGGATCCTTAAAATACTATCAGTAATTTGAGAGTTTTTAGATTAGGTACATCCACGTCATCAGGGCAACAAAGTGCGCAATCATCAAAACCTAATTCTAGCAATTCATCTTAAAACTTAGAGAGAACCAACAAAGCTATTAAGGATACTAAGAAGGAGATAGTAAGTTCTTGCGACAAGATAATCAGTTTCTTCATCAACACTGTCATAATCAAATGCATTAGATTAGCGCTTTACTTTGGCTATGCTTGCATTTATATCTGTGCCATACCTTTGAACTTCCTAAGTCTTTTGGGGGATATTCTTTTTGGCAGGTCTCGATTAATTACCAAAACTTCAGCAAAAAGCCAGCAAGACAAGAACTAAAATGGATGCTTTAAGTGCCGATCTAAATCCAATTAGGAGTAAGCGCAGTATGAAAGAGAATAAAAGCGCCGATTATAGTCATTTATCGAGAGTGAGACTTGCTGTGCCAATTGTCAAAACAATAATCAAAACTCATGTCAGTAAAAACATGGAATATAGAAATCTTCTACAAGAAGGCTTTAGGTAGTCTTGGACTTAGACAATACTCTGATACACAGTATAAATACTCAGCCTAGCACTAATGAATCCAATTATTTTCCAATTAAAAACAACATATTTGTCTTCAAGAGGCCTCACATGGAATATTTTTTGAACGAATTATTTAAGATTGCTGATGTAATGGTTTTCACTGCCAGTATGTAAGATTATGCTGACCAAATTCTTGATGTAATTGACCCATAGAATAAATTCATCAAACGATTTTATAGACATGTAAGTATCAAGAAATTCCCAATATTTTTAGGATTGCAAGAAAGATGATAAGAGGCAAATTTTTAAAGATCTTAATGTGATAACTGATGATTTAAGCAATTTAATAATGATTGATGATTCTGAAGTAACAAAGATTAACAATCCTTGTAAATAATTCCTAATTTAAAATTATTGACTATTAGTGAATACTTATAAGATCAAGTGCTGGATGAAATCAATGAAGGATGACAATAGTCTAAAAAGCTGTTTGAGTCTTATTAAGTATCTTAGATACTGTGATGATATTTAAACTGAACTGCCTAATGTTATCAACTATAATGAGTAGTGGATGCCTTCAGACTTATGAACTATGATTTATCAAGATTTGAAATTAAGATATATTTAAGTAGCAAGGACGAAATTGAGATAAATAAGCCTTGATAGATTGTACTTAGAATAATATTTAATAATAATTCTAAGCATTTATTTAATAGCACATTGATTTTTAAATTAATATTTTTTTATGGGGTTTTGGGGTTTTGGGG